ACCGAATTATAAAAACCGATCCAACCAAATTGTAATCGGATCGGATCAGATCGTATTTGAATTTAGTTTGGACTATTTGGATCCATATTTTGAAAACCGAAATCAATTTGGATTCACTTGATTGGATCGGATCAAACCGATCCATCCAAACGAACACCTTGTATCAGTCTTTTAATATAACACCTTACTTTCATTTCTTTTCGATACACCATTTTACTTTGAGAAACCTATAGTTTATAGCAAATACACTTAACAATTTTTATATTTCAAATGTATAGTGACTTTGTGAGAAAAAAACTATAATAGGCTGATTTTTTTTGTTGATTTTGTCGTTTTGTTTTTTAATCATGGAAGATTTTTATAACAAACAATGAATATCCACATATTATCACTACAATAAGACGATCGGTGGAGATACAAAGCCTTGTCCGTTATAGTGCAAATATATATATGCAAATACAATCATTTATGCTGGTACCACTGTGGATGGATTTGTAACGCAAAAATCCAGTAGATATCATATGCACTATATTATTTGTCAGTTACAACGAGTTTAGTACAATGGCTTTTTGCATTGGGCTAGGTGTTAATCGTAGAGGTAATTCTGAACAAGTACATATTCTAATGCAATGAGTTGGTTGCATTAGAAGTTGTATTTGTTATGAATTACCTTGTGAAGAACACCTTATCCCTCATTTGCATTGAGTTTTGGCCACATCGTGGCCCGTCCACCCAACCCCCTAGACGTGACATCATAATAGCAACAATGTTTGTGATTTTGTTGAGATCAGTTGATCACAATTAGGTACGATGCATATCATATCTATTAGATTGTGAGTTACAAATTCATCCACAATGGTACCAGCATACATGATTGCATTTGCATATATCCTTGCATTCTGGCAAACAAAGCTTCTCATTGCCATTGATCGTCCTATTCTAGTAATGATATGTGGATCCGCCATTTTTGGTTATAAGAAGCTTCCATGATTAGAAACAAAAGGATATAAATGGAAAAGAGATTAACATACTTCCATTTATCTATTTCTTCCTATCACATCATTATTGCATATCTAAGAAAGCAATGCACTTCGAAAAATCAATCTAATTATAATTTTTTTTATCAAGACTTATTTTTGAAATATAAATATTATTTTGTATTTGCTATAAACCAATACTATTTTCAAATTACAATGGTATACCAGAAAAAGATGAAAATATGGTGCTATTGTAAAGAGACCGGTACAAGTATGTTATTTTTTCTTGTATTTTACAGAAAACAAAACATAATGAGACAGTAGTTCTTCATTTGTCATGATGGCCGAAGAAAAGTTGGGTTTGATTTGAAGTCTCCCCTGACATATTTTTTATGATTTTAGCCTGCCTCTCGGCATATCTCTCATCACACAGGATATTGTTTACTGGGAGCTGATTTCACATACTCATTAGAAAACTCCTGTCTCCATTGTCCATACCTTTCCATTTAACTCCCACGCTCTTAAATACGACAGTCTCCCACCTATGCCCTAAATCCTTAATTGCTACCTCCTTCGCCATCGACCTTACTCCAGGCTCCAAATTGTTATCGCTCAGTCATTGCAACCTCTCCACTGCTGCCTCCTGACACTTCTTGTTGTCGTGCTATGCTCATACATATCCGAATAAGGTACGAAACCCTTCTTTCCTTTTAGAAATCAGACGAAAATGTTCCTCTAACTTTCATCTCCGACTCTAGAATACAAGGAGTCAACGAGAAATCAGAAAAAAGTTGTTGATTACGCTCAGTTTATAACTGGATTGCCCTCCCCTCAGTTTATAACTGGATTGCTCCTGGGTTTGTGGCTTACAACACAAAGCAGTAGCCTCAACCCAACCACACTATGTAGACATATGCAAACTATAATCAATTACCAGCAAGTAGAAATAATCATAGAGATCTACCGGTCTAACAAATCACTGCAACATAGTAACATCCTATACACAAGAAAACATAATACAATCTAATGGGCCGACATTGGTGCATTCGACCCATGAGTACAGTGAGGAAAACTCACCTCGAAGTGTAGAAGATAGTTGAATTGATCACTGATCAAAATATCGGCTCTACTGGTCACCTATACAACAAACAAGGACCAAGTCTCAAACTACAACTCAAAATACTCCATTTGACCTAACGTCAAACTTGGTCAAAGTCAATGATCAAAAAGTTAAAAGTCAACTTCTGGTTGGTCTACACCCCATGTAGAGCTCAAGGCAGCAAAGACGAGGAAAATCAATGTTGGGCCCCGCGTAAGGGGATTTACGCCCTGCGTAAACCCCCTAAAGCCCTAACCTAATTATTAAGTCCTTAATTCAGCCCAAAAGCTCTTCCAACTTCCAGATCTCTATCTTATCAATGTCTAAATGGATAAAGTCTCTGACTTTATCCATTTGCATGCATACCAATGGCACAAAATCATAACCTAAGTCCAAAAAGTCATCCAATGCTCAAGACTCATGCATGGATGGATGAGAGTGACCAAACCATTCACCTTGACAACGATGTGTAATATTACTATTGTCCATTCCAAAATCATCGAATATTACACCCAAACCAAAACGGTTGTTGACTTAACGATATTATTGATGTTGGGATTTTGAAAAAGAATCTTGTCATGTGTATACCATCAATGGATTATCTCCCAAGTTCCATTATATAGCAAGTCTAATCCTCCATCACACTCCTCTTTTGACATTCATGGAGACATGATCCATGTTTCTTCTCGAAGAACAACACACCCGAACCAAATTCATACTCACACACCCAGATAATTCGTCATCCTTTACGATCCTTATCGAGCACTCAAATAATATCAATTACATAAAGTCACTATATTTTATTATTTGTTTCTGTTTTGACACCATCATACCATGTCAATATCATATCAGTGCTACATCATCAAACAATGCCACACCAACTGGCAATAGGTAAACCTGAAGATTGCCAGGAAATGATCAACATTGAATAAAATTGAAAAACACGATGTTCGATTTGAATAAAATAAAAATTAATATTTTTGTGACATTTACCCTAATTTTTTTCTCTTAATAAGCTTAAAAAGTAAGGGGATGTTTTGGAACTTTCAAAGTTTTTTTGGACAGTGTTTATTGATTTACAAGGATAGAAAATAAGTTTTAAAAAAATATTTGAATTAATTTTTAAATTGGAAAAAAACTTTATACTTAAATTGATTAAAAAAGGATATAAAAAATAAGGAAAGAAAATGAGACAAAAACAGTTTAATAAAGATCGTAGGGTCATTTATAGTTAAAAAAATAAATTCATGGAAACCTCTTTTTCAAAGAATGCAAAAACTCCATTTTAAAAAAGCATTTACACAATAATTTTTTTTTTTTTGAAAAACCAATAAGCTATTTTGAAGTAATCTCAAATTAGGATGAGCATGGACCGAGTTGGGTCGGTTTGGGGTAAACCGAACCCAACCCATGTATTTCGGTTCGTTCGGTTTTTGGTCGGTTTCGGTTTTTGGGTTCTTGGGTCGGTTTCATCGGTTTTTGGGTTCAACTCATGGGTCGATGAGTTTTGGGTTTAAAATCATGGGTTTTGGATTGTAACCTATTTTCAACAAATCTTTATAACTTGAAAAATGAAAAAAATTTAGCAACCTAGATTAAAGAAACTAAAAAAACCAATTTGCTAAAAGTTTACAACAACCAAGTTTAAGAACAATCAAGTTTAACAAGTTTTTAAAAACAAAACAAGTAGTAAAAAACCATATAATAATATCAGTTTCAATAAAAGAACACAAACCATATATTTGGTGTAATTTAGTACTAAAATCCATCTCCTTTTACATTTGATGTCTGTTACAGTTGACATAGAAAATCAAATTATAGCATATCATTGAAAAACATGTAATAATCTTGGGTTGGGTCGATTTCAAATCCAACGGGTTGGGTCGGTCTGAGGTACTAAAAACGAACCTAAAATCCATTTTTCGGTTTTTTAAAAATTTAAACCCAAACCCGACGGTTTGGGTTCGATTTCGGTTTATCGGTTTCGGTTTTGTTGGTTTTTGTCGGTTTTTGAGTTTTCGAATTCGGTTTTGCTCACCCTATTTCAAATACATTTTTACTTATTGCTTTTTAAAAACCCGATAATTGAATAATTTATATTGAAAAGAATCCAAAACACCCTCTAAAGTCTAAATACAACCAAGTTTAAGGCTGCTGGGTGTGGGCAACATATTATTACATTTTACCACACTTAAAAGGTGTCACATCATCATCCTAGTCATACATGGGTGTTATAACGCCCAATGTGGAAATGGGCAACATCAAATAACATGTAATAACACCACTTATTTTCTATTTTATTTTTTAATTTTATTTTTGATGTTTTTAGTTTCTATATTTCCATTGCATTGGCTATTCGTTGAAACACATTTTTCTGCAAACGAAACCTTCTTTTAAAATCGCTAGGTTGGTAGACACAATTATCCGCAAAATAATCGTGTACTAGACGTCTATGTCATTCTTCACGATCTTTGTTCAACGCCGCACGCCTGGTTGGTAGTGGAGCTGGCTCTGTCGGTAACATGTTCGTAGCATATCGGAACATCATACCCACGAACATATCATCCGCGTCGATATCATGATTGTATGGATGGAACGGATCAAAATGATCTATTTTTTAATTAAATAGAGTATTAGAAAACAAAATGAAATTGAAAAAAATAGGAATTGTTGAAAGAGTTTGTTGAGTTTTGTAGGTAAAATGAAGATAAAATTTTGTGTATTTATATTAATAGAGTTTTTTTTTTGGTTATTTGTGACCGTTTGGAAACGGTCGAAAATATGACCGTTCAAATCAAAATGGAAGATTTAGAGGGTGTTTTAACGCCGTTATTTGTGGTCCACGTCAAAAAACGCCTTTAGGCGGTGCCCGCTCCCACCCATCTAATACTATATGGAATATACGAACACGTGATAATTGTTTAATGACTGGTGCTGGTGCTCCTCAAACACGGCACACTTCCCCAATTGTACGAAACTCGACGGATCTTCGGTCTTCACCAACCGGGGCTCCACACCCGACGCCACTCCCATCTCCTGAGTTGCCGCCGCTTTCTGCTCCACAACCGATGAACTCTCTTTCTCTCGTTCCTTTCTCCTCCTCCTGCAACTCTTCTACCCTACCAAAACTCAAACCTTTGTACACACTTCATCATCACCCTTACATAAACATCAACCAGGTCATCTCTCTCTCTCTCTCTCTCTCTCAGTTTATTTTGTTGTTGTTGGTGCTTGATTTGAGTTCTGAAACCCTAGCTATGTCCGTGTGTATCCGTTTGGGTTTTTCTTTCTATAGAAGCGGAGAATCAGAAATGGAAGATGAAGGGCGGAGTTAATTCACGCGATGCACCGTTCGTCGTTGCTATCGGCGTATGTGGGCTCAACTCGTGTAGGAACACTTTAGGGTTTGTTGTGGAGATCTGGATACCAACTTGGATCGTGAGAACACTTTCCGAACTGATATTTCTACCCTATGTCTGGGTTGCAAGAAATTCAGCCTAGGATAATCCAAGTGGACACTTACGATTTTAGGCACAGAAATCGTAAGCCAATTTGCTAGAAAGATTCTGTGAAAGTTTGAAGAAAACGAGAGCTAATTTTCGGATCTAACTTCACAAAAGGAAGAGTCGTTTATATAATAAACGAAAATAGGGTTTCATTAGGGTTGGGCCGTCATTAGTTGCTTTTGAAGCAAGTCAGGGTAATCCGGATTAATGAGGATTTAGGGATACCAAAACTAACGAGTTTCGTTAGTTTTACCATAATCACCCCAGCCAGGGGCTCTTCCCCTTGGACCCCGCTAGGGGCGCCGCCCCTTTGGAAACCCCGGACCCAGGGGCGCTGCCCCCGGACCCCCGACTTGTCGTCGAACCGGCTTCTAATTCGATCTTATACATGCGTGCACCCCGCACCAACCCGTACATATATTAGAGTACAAATTACGAAGCCCTTAGCTCACATGTTAGTTCCAGTTACATAAAATGACATTGTGACACTAAAATCACCAACAAACTCGTTGGTATTTCCTCTCCCTGTAAGTCCCAATGACGAGGAAGATGGTGAGTCGGTGATCGATTCAGCTGATGCAAGATTCGCTGTCATGGGGATTATAAGCTTCATCCCTTCAACCGGATGGTGAGCATTACGACCTTTCTCTTGATTCCACTGCTTGATTAAGAGTTCATACTCTGTACATGATATTTTTTTGTGTTTGTTTTTGATGATTGATCGTTGTGTCTTATTGTTTGTAGAGTTGGGTTTTTGCTTGGATGGATACCGGCGATAAACGTTATGCTGTATATGCCATCATTTACTTGGCTCCATACTTAAGGTTCTTAAACTTGTCATTTACTCTTTGATTTTGTTGATTTTGAATTGAATTGCTTCATATCATTCAGAAGTGTTAATTGTTATCGATTGATATTGAGTATTTCATTCCTTTTTTTTATCAATAAAGTATCTATATTCTACAAATCCTTTTGTTGTTATCCATTTTCTGTTGGGATTAAAGATAAGATGAGTACAGATTCAATAACCATGTTGGTTGTGATTGTAGGACACACTTATCATGTCATCTGATGAAAGCTGGTTACCTATCGCAAGCATTCTTCTTTGCATTCTTCACATTCAGGTAAAAGCTCTTCAAGCTCATAGTCTCCAATCACCGTAACTACATCTCTGCCATGTTCATACTTTATAGAGCTGATAATTATACGATTGGCAGTTAGAAGCAAGCATCAAGAATGGAGATCTTCAGGGATTCCAATTATTTAATGGAGCTTCAAGGAACAAAATTCCAGAGAAAGATGTGAGAATCTCAGAACAGGTACTAACTAACTACCTGATTAATTTAATTTCAAATATTGGCGATGGGGTGAAAAGTTTTTGGTTAATTAGGGGAGAAGAAAAGATGAACAAAAGTTACTTTCTTCAAACGATGAATCAAGAAATATGATTAGTGGTTGGGGAATTCCTAAAAAGCCTGCTCAAAAAGCTGATCATTTGGATGAAGAGGGAGATGAAGGGAAAAGGCATTAGATCAGATGATTGTTTGAAGAATCAATCATTTAGGTAACATTTTATTGATCTCACCAATAGATATAAGTGGTTGTGAAAGAGTGTTTTAGTTTTCCACATTTTTTGAAAATGGTGTTGATTGCTCTCAAACTTCAATCATTATAACATTTACAATTCGAGACATGAACAAAGTTGTGTTATTTTTTTCTTATCAGGAACTTTAGATCTACCACTGTGAAAATAATTTTTTGATATTATTTTCATTCGTTTGTTTTTTATGTTGATTTTTCTTAACTTTTATCTACTTCTATCAGAACTTTAATTTGTAAAGTCTTTTTCACAATATGGAATGATTATTTCCCATAAAGTCTAAAAATGCCATATTTTAATATATAAACAAGGGGTAATGTCACTTTTTTTTGTACTTAGTTACTGTGAACTATTTAGACCTTATTTACATGATTGTTTAAGTTTTAGCAATATGGTTTCTAACAGTAGGTGTTTTACTGGTTAGTGCCTTTTCTTAAATGACATGTCATCCCAAGCTTGAAAAAAGATAAGTAACTTGAGCAAAATTTGTTACATGGCATTCATGTGGCATCCATGTCAGCTTTAATGCTTTATTTAAACAACTCTTTACAAAGGTGTTAGGCATTGGAATCGCCCAATTTTTCTTGATGATCACGTGGACCTTGTGGATACCCTCATTGGGAAAGTACATGTTCATTAACAAACAATTTCAACTAAGTAGGTTGAATAGCATCCAAAAACTTGAAAAAGACAATTTGTGAAAATTCTATATAGTTTTGAGAAAACTAAATTGTTCAGCAAACAAACATTTCTATTAAATAAACATACGATCGAAATGATCCAAACATGTTAATGTTATAGATATTAGTCTACACAAATTTTATGTACTTGGGCTCATGTAGTATCACATCTCTTCTTGTATAGCTGTCAGGCCCATTTATCTTGTAATTGTATATTCATATCCTTCTAAAGTTCTAATGAGAATCTAGTAATTTATTGGAAAATAGATTTTGTAAAATGGTATTAGTGTTGTAAAAAAAACCGCTTCCTTGCTCTTTGTTTATAAAAGAGCAATGATTTGACATATTTGCTCTTATATGTTGAAGCCATCATCTTGACCACTTCATCACCATCTCTTCCGTTGGTGCTTATGACGACCCTTAGCCGTGAATTCTCTATGACAGGTGTGGGCGTTCTTAATAACTTCCTCGACATTGCCGTCACTAAAAGACGCCATACATAAATTACTTTTTTTTAACAAGACTAAAGGAATAAACATTTTTAAGTGAAACGAAGGGTGTGAGTGAGGAAAAAACGTGCTCGTAGCCATAAATCGGAAATTTTATTACCATTGTCAACGATAATGTGTTTGTTTAACTTGCTCAAATTGAAAAAAAAAGGATATCGGTAGGAGTGTAAGGATATGGTTAACTAGTAAAAGCAGTATTTGTATTTTGCAATCGAGAACCGAACACATGGTGAGTTATTGGTGACAGGAGGAAGCGACTATGAGCCTGTTGGCAATGGGCAAGGCGGGGCGGTCTACTGATGTTGTGTCATGCTCATGATGGAAAGGGTGACTAAGACCGTGGGTAATAATTGTTGTTTTGGTTGGGGTTGTTTTGTCTATGCACACAACCACCCATATCGCGCCTAGTTTGCCTATCGTGACTATGGGAAGAGGATCTAATAATGTAAGTGGTGGTGTTACTATGTTGGTTATTAGTGTGTAGTGATGTGATGGCAACAGTGGTGATTAAGGTGGTCGGGTTATTAGAGGCGAATTTAGCCTTGTGGGTTTCTTCTAAATTTATGTTGGATTTAGCTTCATAAAACGGTGGTAAGGGTCAGACTGCTGGATCAAAGTGACAAACTCATAAAGGGTATAAAAGGTTCGGTGAGACCAAATACTAGTTTAAGCATGAGACGATGTTGGAAACCGGTGCACCAAGGTTCTCAAGTTGTTCAAACAAAATTTTAGCTCTATCAAATATGAAGAGAAGTTGGAAAATTATTCGAGACGGGTATTTGTGAATTGATGTTCAAGATAAACGACTCTGGATTTTTGTTATCTCAAAAGATATTGAAAAGACAATCACATGATTGCTTGGCAACAAAATCAAGTGTGTGATTAGTTTGGAGAAGATCAATGGATATTGTAACATCTCAAAAATCACAGTAAATTTAAACTTTTCAAAACAACTCATTTACTAAAAGAAGTGTTTCCAAAACATTATTTAAAATCAGAGTCTCCCAAGATCCAATCAGTAGTAAAACCAAGGATGTGTACGATCACGCCTTCGCCTTGCCACAACCATCTGAAGCACCTGAAACAATAAACCGAAACTGTAAGCACGAATCTTAGTGAGTTCCCCCAAAGTACCAACACAAACAGATAACATATACAAATAACAACATGTGTTGAGTCCACAACTAAAAGACTGAATTACCCTTGAGCCCACAGTATGAGTCTGGCTTTCCTATCGGACCCACAACTCATATCCGGCTTGCTCCTGAGCCCACAACATAAGTCTGGCTTGCCCTCGGGGCCCACAGCTTATGTCTGGCTTGCTCCTGAGCCCACAACATAAGTCTGGCTTGCCCTCGGGGCCCACAACTTATGCCTGGCTTGCTCCCTAGCCCCATAAGTCATCAGACTGGAATACCAATAAACAGCAGGCCCACTAAGTCATCGGACTGGAATACCCTCAAGCACTCAGTACGAGTCTATCATACCAACCGGTCCTCAGATCATATTTGGAATGCTACTGAGCCCTTAGTATGAGTTTGGCATGCCCTACCCGTCCCTCAGCTCATATCTGGAATGCTCCAGGGTTTGTTGGCTACAACACAAAGCAGTACAACCTCAACCCAACACAATATGTCGACATATAACAGATACAAACATATAAATATAATCATGCAGATAGAATCACATGTAGTCCTACATATCTACCAGACTAGCATATGCATAGTTAGCATATAACCGTGCAGGTCTAACTCATACTCATGAGGATACCGACCTAACGGATCTACACAACATAATATCATACTATCATAAAACAGGATATCCAATCCACTGGGCCGGCCTTGGTGCCCCCGACCCGTAAGTACAGTGAAGAAAACTTACCTCACAGTCTAAACAGTAGCTGATGGGGTCTCGACTCTGAATCTCAGCTCTAACCGTCACCTATCCAACCAAATGACAAATTCTCAATCACAATCCAAAATAACCAAAATACCCTTAAGTCCAATTTGGTAAACCTTGGTCAAAGTCAAATTCAAAGTCAACGGTCCATAAAGACCATATCCAACCTCACGTTGTGGCCAGACATTGTTCACGTCGTGACAACTCGATCCGATTCCCACTCGACTCGATCCAACCTAGTCAACTCAGTCAAAGAAACCACCTGAACTGGCATCACGACGTGAGCACCCATTCTCACGTCATGAGCCCCAAGGATTCTAACAGAAGTGGGGATTCTTCGAACCTCACGTCGTGAGATCTTACCTCTCACATCGTGAGAGCAGTCTGAAGCTAAAAGCTGCCATTTTAAGCCCTTATTCCATTAAGACCTTGAATCCATCTCATCTAGAAGTTAAAGGGGACCCTTAAGGTCTATAAAAATGTTTCCTTTATGGACATGCATGCACCAAGCATGATTCATCCATTTTCTAGGTTAAAAGTGAAGAAATGAGCTTCAATCTTTCATTCATGCCTAAAATCCATACCAACTTTCAGATCTGAACAAGATTATGATCTAGGGACTCTTAGAATCCATAAAGTTGCCAACTTTATGGATTCCCAACACTCTAACTCATAAGATCTTGGATAAATATGCATAAAACTTTAGATCTAGAAATAATGAAACATAAAGCTTGGATCTTGATTACTCACATTGGTCCAGAAGTGTGGCTAAAGGTTGCAAATGAAGCTTTCAAGATGCAACTATGCTTCCATGGTGTTCTCCTCTTCTTCAAACCTCCAAAACTCCATAAAAAGTTCAAGAAGCACAAGGAGAGGCTAGGGTTAGAGTTTTACCGAGTTAAGGGATGAATGAGGCTGGTTTGGAACCCTAAAATGAGGTTTATGGGGTTTAAATACGATGGAAACCCTAAAAGATTGTGGACTTGGGCTGCAACGTACCTCACGTCGTAAGACATTATTTCTCACGCCGTGAGCTCAGTTTAAATCATCATTTCTGTTTAATCACTTCTCACATCGTGAGCTCCAACTGCTCACGTCGTGAGATCAGTTTTCCCCCAAATCCTTTCCAACTTCGAACAATCATAACTTATTTGTTTCAACTCTGATTTCGACGATCTTTATATCCACATAAAGGTGTTGAGAATCTCTACAACCATATCAACTCTCCTTTTCCTTGAAATTTACCAAACTTAAACCCAAAATTTATAAAAGGCTCGAACTATCACTTTGCGGTTATACCCTTGGGCTCCAAAGCACCAATCGAACTCTCGGATCGCCTAATATACATTACCCACATCTAAAAAGGATCTAAATCTCCCTTTCCCCCAAAGCCCTAAGCCTTATGATGATCGATCTTCGGGTCACGACCCCGAATTAGGAAACGATTCAGAACAGGGTGTTACAGATATTGTACCATAGATCTCCTGTAGGACCATATCATCAAGTCGGTGACAATATTACTTAACGGCGGAGGGAGCGTTGGGTGGAAACGAGAGTAATAATATGGATAAGGAATTGGTATGCATGACAGTGGATTTTAAAGCGTTCTGACCATGACGTGTAGCAACATGTCTCCATCGCTAATGTGATCGAGATAACGTTCTAGATATTAGAAACGGTAATGGTAAGGCGAAGCAATTTTCAGCCATGAAAGATTATGAGGTGGAGAAGGGAGGTTAGGTTATGCAGAAGGTGGTTGGAGGAAGAAATACGGTGATTGCTATGACAGGGTTGAGGGTGCCATGATGAGAAAGGCAAGTAACGATGGTAGTTGTTGAGAGAG